GGGGGGGCTGGGGGTTGAGTCTGTGTTCAGCTTAAGATATTGAACTCAGTTAACAGCAGGGTTTTTTTATCAGTAAAACAGATACGGATAGCCTGAAAAAACAAGAAAAATCATCCCAGAGATGTTGTCTTAAAATGAGAAAATAAGTTATTGTTATCCAGAATGTCATTCTTAACTGATTGAAATCTGTATAGTTACTCTTTTCTATAATAAAAAAGAAATAAAATATATGCAGAACAACAATACATGAAATACACTGTGTTGACGGTGACGTACTGAACCGTCACTGGGGCTGCTGGAGGAGCCTCCTTCCTACTGACTATGGACCTAGAACTATGGAGACCCCCCTCAGACCTCTTGGGGTTACATTGAACCATTCTCCTAGGTTTATGTGAGGAGTGACAATACTGTATGTTTCCCCTGACATGACATCTAAGTGACCACATGTTCATTATAGGCAGCAGGCTGTCTGGAGTGGCCATTGTTTGGGATGATAGACTCAAGCTCTTATCTGATTAAGGACATTCATTAGGTTCAAAGAGTGTCTGTGCTTAAGGAATTCCAATGCGGCACCCGGCTGTCTAGGGTAGGAACTGTTCAACACACTGCACTCTAATCTGATCCTGTGAGGTATAAACTCTGTGTGCTTCCTTCAATAAAGCAGATCTTGGTTTCCACTTCAACATTGGTGTTGTCTAATGATTGAGGGGTTAGCGTTCTGTCCTAAGATATTGGTTCTGTCCAATAATTAGGCAGTTTGGGCTGAGGACACTGGGATTCGGGTTCCAGCGGAGAGGAAGCTGTTTTCTGACGGAGGTACCCAGTCGGGGTACCAGGCGGTCCGTCACAGTGACGAGGTCACGCCTACACCTTCTATATAGACATGTGAAGTACGAGAGGAAAATCTCACCGCCGGTGGCTCCGCACATCCCGCTGAGTATATTCAGTAACGTTGTCTTTCCAGCTCCGCTGTGACCGAGTAACGCTGTGATCTGTCCCTCGTAGATGTCCAGATCCAGACCTGAGGGTACAACACACTTCAATGATCAATACATGATACAGGACACATGATCACACATGATATATGATCACACATGATATATGATTACACATGATATATGATCACACATGATATATGATCACACAGGGTATATGATCACACAGGATATATGATCACACAGGATATATGATCACACATGATATATGATCACACATGATATATGATCACACATGATATATGATCACACATGATATATGATCACACATGATATAGGATCACACATGATATAGGATCACACATGATATATGATTACACATGATATAGGATCACACATGATATAGGATCACACATGATATATGATCACACAGGACATATGATTACACAGGATATATGATCACACATGATATATGATCACACAGGATATATGATTACACAGGATATATGATCACACATGATATATGATCACACATGATATATGATTACACATGATATATGATCACACAGGATATATGATCACACATGATATATGATTACACATGATATATGATCACACATGATATATGATCACACAGGGTATATGATCACACATGATATATGATCACACAGGGTATATGATCACACAGGATATATGATCACACAGGATATATGATCACACATGATATATGATCACACATGATATATGATCACACATGATATATGATCACACATGATATAGGATCACACATGATATAGGATCACACATGATATATGATCACACAGGACATATGATTACACAGGATATATGATCACACATGATATATGATCACACAGGATATATGATTACACAGGATATATGATCACACAGGATATATGATCACACATGATATATGATCACACATGATATATGATCACACATGATATATGATTACACATGATATATGATCACACATGATATATGATCGCACAGGATATATGATCACACATGATATATGATCACACATGATATATGATTACACAGGATATATGATCACACATGATATGATTGTGGAATGTTACAATGTATCTCATTACATGAAAGGATGACTGAACTTGGTCCACACTCATCCTCTCACTCTTTCAGCTTTGGGCGGCCTCCTTCTTTATCCTTTTCTTTATGTTCATAATGACTGAGCTTATGTTATGTGTTGGCTGAGAATGTTTGTATGCCACTTGTCTTCCATATATAATTCTTAGCTTTAAATGGTGGGGAACATATACAGTGTATACAAGCTATTCATCTACATGGCGGATGTCATTGTGATGTGAAGAATGTTCTATACAGGACAGTGGAGCCTATCGAGTTGTAGCCATTCTATACCAAGTCATCCGTGTTACAGACAAGAAAAGTTCACATTTTAGAGAATTGTATCACCTTGTAGTGCCTCTGTATTCTTGTCCTTGCCGCTGTACTTTTTCTTTACATTAGTTATCCTGCATGAAGGGACGAGAGGATGTCACTTAGCAGATTTAGAGTAATTAACATGACACAGACCCCGGGCATGTTCTATGACCTGTTACTAAGATTCATACTTCAAAAGAATACATTTGCATTGCCAAATCAAAATTCTGGGGTAACAAAGTAGGTCTGCCTTCCCATGATGAAAATATTGCAGCTCTCAAAGGCTAAATCACAGGTTTCTAGTCATCAGCAGCATTGTGAGTGTTTCATGTCATCATAGACTGCAGAGAACCTGTCTCCTAGTTTTCCTATGGGATAAGGATCCACAAGGCACCACTGCAAAGTGCAAAGTCCGCCTTGTGCTGTATATGTAATGAGCAGTTATGGCTGCGGCCATGTGCATTACTCTGTGGAGAACCTGACTCCTAGGCTTCATATGTCACCTAGGATCCACAAGTCACCACTGCAAAGTGCAAAGTCCGCCTTGTGCTGTATATATAATGAGCAGTTATGGCTGCCACCATGTGCAATTTATAAATATAACAGCACTCGGAATATGAAAGACTCCCCCATCCTGGACCATTGTGAAATATAACATATATGGCCAGCATTCATGGGCTCTGACCTTGTGTCAAAGGTCAAATGCTGCTGCTTGCATTTCACATAAGCTTCTGAGACCATTCACAGTTCATTGGACCTGCAGTTGCACTGCATCTAAGTTGCTTTTGTCATTCCTATTGACTTGTGTGAGCAGAAAAACAGTTCTGACGCAAACAAAAGTTCTTCAACACACCCCCTTGATTTCACAGCTGCATCTTGGCTTTGAGTGCTCCTGAGTATCCTGTTTTTTTTATTTTAAAGTGCTTAGTATGTGTAGACGGAAGTGGAGGCTTCCCCATGAGAATGAATACCTGATGGCTTCCTTTCCCAGTAACTCAGCAGGAACTTTTTCTACATAGTCACCACAGGTTGGCCCCAAGTTCTCTCCTTCTCCTAGCGGGATGGGGGACATCTTCTTCTTCTTTGACCAGAATGAAGGTCTCAGAAAAAAGAGCGGCTCGTGTCTCACTCCGTGTTTGTCTGCAATCAAAAGAAAACAAGTTTGATGAAAGTTGGGAGGATAACATGGAGTTATTTCTGCAATAGGATATAGAAACTTTTAAACCAGTGTGTACAGTATATAATGATATCATAAGAGTGACATGATAGTGACCAAAACAAGGCTGAGACACAGTCGGTGTTCTTTCCACCTGTGTGCTTCATCCGAAGCCTCCTGGAAATGGAATCCCTGAATCTACTATCATGTTATGAGAAGAAGTCATCAGCAATGCGTCCTTACCAGGAATAATCTTGTCGAAATAGAGAGTGAGGAGGATATAAAGTATGGAGTCCAGAGCTAGGTAGATGGCACTGGATAACATATGGAAGGAGTCATCACCGATGTCCAAGAAGTAGGCCCCTTGAAGGTCATTTTCCATGTGAATGCTCTGACAACACAGAAAAGCCATAATTTATACACACATCTCACAATGACAATACGAGAGTCCATCCCGGCATCACAAGTGTATTTAAACTAAAGCGGTGCTCAGTCCATTCAATGCAGAACAACAGGTCCCCTTAACTGAAGCACATACCTTTCCTTCATTCCTCCACTGTTCTGAACAATGAGTACTTCCAGGTACGAATGAACATACTGTGATGGTAATATGGGTCTGGGCACCCCAATACTAATTAGAAAGCCCCTTGTCATCTTGCTGCAAATAAACCACTTATGGGTATGACCAGACATCCATATTTATGGGTTGAAGCTCTCAAAAAGAGAGTTCTTCACATTCCACAACCTGGCTGCTAATGGTCTTTATATGGGGGATATAATAAAACCCTAATTCCATGACTAACTAGCAGATAACCAATGAACTACCACTACACAGCTCAGCCAATGTCCTAAAGATGGCCTGCACTGTTAACAGCAACTGACCCTCAGCTCACTTCTAGCAATAACCTCAGGTTACAAATTTTACTCAATATTCATAACTTTGTACGTGGGGCAGATATATTATATATAAATATATATATATATACACTGAGTGGCCGGATTATTATACACTGAGTGGCCGGACTATTATATACACTGAGTGGCCGGATTATTATATACACTGAGTGGCCGGATTATTATGACCACCTGACGTTTGTAGGCACATTAGCTATAATTTGGCGCTGAAGTTGCTAGAGGGCCAGACCATTATAAATAGGGAAGCGGGTTGGTTACCACGACAGTAGAAGTGATTGGGAAGATTCGGGGAAACAACGCGATGTAACAGCCTTGGAACGCGGGATGATTGTTGGCGCTCGGAGCCATGGAGCGAGTATCAGCAAAACAGCAGAATTCGTTACATATTCAGGAGCAGCTCATTGTTAAAGTGTTTAAAGACCGGACTGTCAGCCGAAAATCTGGGTCTGAGCGCGCGAATTGTGGCCGTCAGCGACTAGTCAATGTTAGGGCAGAACGGGGGAGGGGCAAGACTGGTACAAGACAACAGAAGGGTGACAGTGCCGTGTCAGATTCCTCGCATCACCTTTCACCATCTCGTGGAGTCACCAGGCGGCCCAACCAAGTACTGATGGGGTGGTCATAATAATCTGGCCACTCAGTGTATATCAGACACTGTAGGTTTAGAGACCCTCATTAAACATTCCAAGCCAGACATACTTCACAGGTCCCTCAAATTTTTTAGCTACACAAAGCTAAACAAAACACAGAGTAATCTATGGTTTCTCAGGTGGTAATATGTGAAAATATAGAAATATGGTTATTGATATGAAATTGACAGTTTGGGAGGGGCAGAGGAGAAGGTCATAAAGCACTCAGCCCTCCTGCTTCAGCCTCCTTGATTCTTCCTGATAGGGTTAGGGGCCGGCCCATTGACACCCCCTAGAGGGCCCACATAAAGCTGCTGCACAAGGCAGCCAGAGACTCTTGTTGAACATCAAAAGAGGAGGCGCCTGTAACATCAAATAAGAATCTTTGCAAGCCTTACTATGAGAAAGAGCCCAATCCAGATCCACCTTCTGTTGAATTGGACTCTGCTAGAACTCACAAAACCCAGAACTTTGTTAAGTACTCTCATTTCTATTCCCTTTTCTATTTTACTGTTGTTATATTTGTCTCTCTTTTGTAACATCTTTTTCTGTATATTTTTCCTGCCCCGTTTCCTTTATTAAAAATTGATCTTTTAAAATCGTTAAGCTCATCTTGTTTCTCTAAATAAGAACTTAAAGTATCCTTGTCTCTGTGAAGAGTGCTACCGTATAGTAAAACCTGTCTCATTGCCGTCTGAAGGGACAGTGGACATTACAGGCATTGTTCAGTTGTTATTATTATTATATGACATCTCGGCAGGATCGGAATAGTGTATAGTGACGTGTTGGTGACGTACAATGGGTTCGGCCCACTCCGTCACACATACCATTTATTCCCTTTCCTGTCATGTGACTGCACTGGTGCTTGGTGATTGGCACAGCACTGGAGAGGGGGTGAAGCAGACAATAATTAGCCCTGTGTAAGCTCCCAATAATAAACTGTTACCTCTGTGATCCCGACGGCGAAAGAGAAGGGGTGAAAAATGCTCAGAAAAACTTCCAGAGGTTTGGGAAGGATTTTCATCAGCGGCAGGATGCCCAACGCGGACAGGAAGATAGTGATGAAAAATCCCAGAATGGCTGCCAGGCGGTGCTTCCTGAGGAGGGTGCTCAGCATGCAGTTAAAGCAGACCTGGAGGGGGTAAGACAAATCAGTAAGGTCAGATTCAGTTCTTACAATGGGGAATGAAGAAGAAAACAACCCCCATAAACCTCCTTTTCTATAACGTCCCCCATATTGAAACCCTTGTTATCATTTTAGATATAAATTTTAAAATGGTTTGCTACATGCACTCCAGCGATGGCTGCATGACATGACAGGTGACTTTCCTGATGGTGGCAACAGTGGACCATGCCTGTGTAATGTGTGCAGAAATGGCCAGTTGTGGTCTTCATTGGAAGCCCATGTGACAGGGTGACAACATAGGAGGACAACTGGGAGACAGGGACAGAGCGTTGTCAAACCCATAAAAGGAAATGCCTGAAGAAGGACCTCCATGGCAGGATCACCAAGGATTATTTTCATGAAAGCTGCAGATTGAAAATTCTAGAAGGTGACTGTTGAAGATGACATTGACATGTGAAAGCTTATATGAGGTAGGATAGGAATAGCGAGGCCAGATGACACATCGGCCAGACCTACCGTTGCTACGCCATAGAGGCAGAAGAGCAGAAAAATAATTCCAAATGAACTTTCCAGAAACACATAAGTGGTGGCGATCAGAGCCATGAGGGTGGCGATGATGAGGGCACTGACGGTGTACAGCAACCCCCAAGACAACCTGAAATACAAGATCATATCACCATATTAAAGATCGTCCAGGAGAACTCCAGCCATGGACACAAGTGAAACACCTACATGGGGACAACCAGAGAGGCAGGCATGCTTATGACCCCTCCCCCTTGCTGTGCTATACAGCTGACATTGTGTCTCTGCCCCGCCTCCTACATGAGTGACGCCCACCCTGAGCTTTATGTCTCCTGTAAAGGATTCCTACTATGGATATTTCCTTTGGGTTGAATGACGCCACTCACCAAAACGCCAGATCCTTCAGTCCCATCATCCTCATCAGCTCTCTGGTCTTCCTCCTCTCCCGGGTAATCTGCAGCGTCATGAGATATGACAGCGAGACGAAGCACATGCTCATGTAAAACGTTAAAGCGCCCATGTACAGAATTGTCTTCTCAATGAAATCCACCGATTTCATCTTCACCACCTCTGTGGTCGCCATTCCATCCCATAGTGACTGCTTGGTGTTCCGCTGAAAAATATTGTGTTTTCCTCAGATTATCTCTTTTTTTTTTAAAGTCAGAAATCTTATATTTTATTGTTTTTATTTTTTATCTCTCTATCAGGAAGGGGGTGTGAGGTCCTTCAAATATGAACTTTGTGCCTTTTATTTCTTTGAATGGCGAGTTTGTTTGGAGAGTGGAAAGGGAACGAAATCTCACCTTTTAGATGTCTGCGTCAGATGTGCCGGTGGCTTGGCAGCGTGGAGTGGAACCCACTGGCAGGAAGTGGCCTGAAGCGTCCGAAGGCAGAACTTGTCCAAAGGGGCAATCCAAAAAAGAACTCAAGGTCCAATCCGGGTCGAGGCGGGCAGCAAGGGTTCAGGGGCGAAAGTCAGTCCAAGGTCGGCAACAGGGAGCCCAGATGAGGGGTCAGGAAGCAACGGCAAGATACACAGATGGGGAGCTAGGTAATCGCACCATAGGGTGGAATAACTCAGCAACAAGCCAGGGCTCTGGCCAGGTTTTTATAGCCAGGGGATGAAAGACCACCCCCTGGTCACCGAGGCAACCAGGAGGCTTCCCTCCCCGGGAGTCAATGGCAGGCGAGAAAGGTGAAAGGTGTGTGCCATGAAGAGGTAACACCCCTTGCTTCCTGACAGTCTGTCAGCACGGTTCTCACCATTGGAGGAAATTCCCTCACAACGTTAACATGTTTGGATTCTTCCATCACTTTCTGTCCCGGTGACAATGGCCATCAGGGCACATAGAGAGGGTGACTCTCCGGAGACACAGCAATACCGGAGGGTGAATCCCAGGAGACACAGCCATACCTGAGGGTGAATCTCCAGGCATGCAGCAAATACACCTTATAAAGAGTAAAGCCAATTGTATGCAGTCCAGAAAGAAGTTGTGCTCGGTATTATGTCACCAAGTTTCAGGGACATCAGACGCTACCCTTCATCGGGGCTGGAAATGGTGATGAAAGTTTATTCTGAAATAATAGAACCGGAAAGGTACTGAAGGGTAAATTGGACAACAAAAATCCCAAACCAGTAACTGGGGCAAGCTCATGTTATCTTCAATCTACCCCTCCGGATCTTTCCGGCTCCATTGGTTGGACAGTTGTCTCTACTTCTTCTATATAATGAAGCTGAGATGGGACAGTAATGGCTTCTTGCTCACCTCAACAATGGCAGAGTCAATGCTGGCTTGTAGAGAGATGAACCCGGAGCTCCAGTACTTCATTGGTCTGCAATATTGTGAAGTTTCACAGTTACCTGGAAGAACACACAGGGAGAGCAAAGACAAAAACATGTCATGAATCAGAGACTCCGAACGTATTCAGATAAGCTGTGTGTTCAGGTAACCCGTACTAAAATCATTTAAGGGGATTCAGAGCATCCAATTATTGACATTGTTGAGTATTGGGAGTATAATACCTCTTCTATTACAGAGAACAGAGGGGAGGAGAAGACACGGGACACCGGAGAGGGGAGTATAATACCTCTTCTATTACAGAGAACAGAGGGGAGGAGGAGACACGGGACACCGGAGAGGGGGGTATAATAACTCTTCAATTACAAGGAAGAAAGGGGAGGAGGAGAGACAGGACACCGGAGAGGGGGGTATAATACCTCTTCTATTACAGGGGGGACACCGGAGAGGGGAGGATAATACCTCTTCTATTACAGGGGGGACACCGGAGAGGGGAGGATAATACCTCTTCTATTACAGGGGGGACACCGGAGAGGGGAGGATAATACCTCTTCTATTACAGGGGGGACACCGGAGAGGGGAGGATAATACCTCTTCTATTACAGGGGGGACACCGGAGAGGGGAGGATAATACCTCTTCTATTACAGGGGGGACACCGGAGAGGGGAGGATAATACCTCTTCTATTACAGGGGGGACACCGGAGAGGGGAGGATAATACCTCTTCTATTACAGGGGGGACACCGGAGAGGGGAGGATAATACCTCTTCTATTACAGGGGGGACACCGGAGAGGGGAGGATAATACCTCTTCTATTACAGGGGGGACACCGGAGAGGGGAGGATAATACCTCTTCTATTACAGGGGGGACACCGGAGAGGGGAGGATAATACCTCTTCTATTACAGGGGGGACACCGGAGAGGGGAGGATAATACCTCTTCTATTACAGGGGGGACACCGGAGAGGGGAGGATAATACCTCTTCTATTACAGGGGGGACACCGGAGAGGGGAGGATAATACCTCTTCTATTACAGGGGGGACACCGGAGAGGGGAGGATAATACCTCTTCTATTACAGGGGGGACACCGGAGAGGGGAGGATAATACCTCTTCTATTACAGGGGGGACACCGGAGAGGGGAGGATAATACCTCTTCTATTACAGGGGGGACACCGGAGAGGGGAGGATAATACCTCTTCTATTACAGGGGGGACACCGGAGAGGGGAGGATAATACCTCTTCTATTACAGGGGGGACACCGGAGAGGGGAGGATAATACCTCTTCTATTACAGGGGGGACACCGGAGAGGGGAGGATAATACCTCTTCTATTACAGGGGGGACACCGGAGAGGGGAGGATAATACCTCTTCTATTACAGGGGGGACACCGGAGAGGGGAGGATAATACCTCTTCTATTACAGGGGGGACACCGGAGAGGGGAGGATAATACCTCTTCTATTACAGGGGGGACACCGGAGAGGGGAGGATAATACCTCTTCTATTACAGGGGGGACACCGGAGAGGGGAGGATAATACCTCTTCTATTACAGGGGGGACACCGGAGAGGGGAGGATAATACCTCTTCTATTACAGGGGGGACACCGGAGAGGGGAGGATAATACCTCTTCTATTACAGGGGGGACACCGGAGAGGGGAGGATAATACCTCTTCTATTACAGGGGGGACACCGGAGAGGGGAGGATAATACCTCTTCTATTACAGGGGGGACACCGGAGAGGGGAGGATAATACCTCTTCTATTACAGGGGGGACACCGGAGAGGGGAGGATAATACCTCTTCTATTACAGGGGGGACACCGGAGAGGGGAGGATAATACCTCTTCTATTACAGGGGGGACACCGGAGAGGGGAGGATAATACCTCTTCTATTACAGGGGGGACACCGGAGAGGGGAGGATAATACCTCTTCTATTACAGGGGGGACACCGGAGAGGGGAGGATAATACCTCTTCTATTACAGGGGGGACACCGGAGAGGGGAGGATAATACCTCTTCTATTACAGGGGGGACACCGGAGAGGGGAGGATAATACCTCTTCTATTACAGGGGGGACACCGGAGAGGGGAGGATAATACCTCTTCTATTACAGGGGGGACACCGGAGAGGGGAGGATAATACCTCTTCTATTACAGGGGGGACACCGGAGAGGGGAGGATAATACCTCTTCTATTACAGGGGGGACACCGGAGAGGGGAGGATAATACCTCTTCTATTACAGGGGGGACACCGGAGAGGGGAGGATAATACCTCTTCTATTACAGGGGGGACACCGGAGAGGGGAGGATAATACCTCTTCTATTACAGGGGGGACACCGGAGAGGGGAGGATAATACCTCTTCTATTACAGGGGGGACACCGGAGAGGGGAGGATAATACCTCTTCTATTACAGGGGGGACACCGGAGAGGGGAGGATAATACCTCTTCTATTACAGGGGGGACACCGGAGAGGGGAGGATAATACCTCTTCTATTACAGGGGGGACACCGGAGAGGGGAGGATAATACCTCTTCTATTACAGGGGGGACACCGGAGAGGGGAGGATAATACCTCTTCTATTACAGGGGGGACACCGGAGAGGGGAGGATAATACCTCTTCTATTACAGGGGGGACACCGGAGAGGGGAGGATAATACCTCTTCTATTACAGGGGGGACACCGGAGAGGGGAGGATAATACCTCTTCTATTACAGGGGGGACACCGGAGAGGGGAGGATAATACCTCTTCTATTACAGGGGGGACACCGGAGAGGGGAGGATAATACCTCTTCTATTACAGGGGGGACACCGGAGAGGGGAGGATAATACCTCTTCTATTACAGGGGGGACACCGGAGAGGGGAGGATAATACCTCTTCTATTACAGGGGGGACACCGGAGAGGGGAGGATAATACCTCTTCTATTACAGGGGGGACACCGGAGAGGGGAGGATAATACCTCTTCTATTACAGGGGGGACACCGGAGAGGGGAGGATAATACCTCTTCTATTACAGGGGGGACACCGGAGAGGGGAGGATAATACCTCTTCTATTACAGGGGGGACACCGGAGAGGGGAGGATAATACCTCTTCTATTACAGGGGGGACACCGGAGAGGGGAGGATAATACCTCTTCTATTACAGGGGGGACACCGGAGAGGGGAGGATAATACCTCTTCTATTACAGGGGGGACACCGGAGAGGGGAGGATAATACCTCTTCTATTACAGGGGGGACACCGGAGAGGGGAGGATAATACCTCTTCTATTACAGGGGGGACACCGGAGAGGGGAGGATAATACCTCTTCTATTACAGGGGGGACACCGGAGAGGGGAGGATAATACCTCTTCTATTACAGGGGGGACACCGGAGAGGGGAGGATAATACCTCTTCTATTACAGGGGGGACACCGGAGAGGGGAGGATAATACCTCTTCTATTACAGGGGGGACACCGGAGAGGGGAGGATAATACCTCTTCTATTACAGGGGGGACACCGGAGAGGGGAGGATAATACCTCTTCTATTACAGGGGGGACACCGGAGAGGGGAGGATAATACCTCTTCTATTACAGGGGGGACACCGGAGAGGGGAGGATAATACCTCTTCTATTACAGGGGGGACACCGGAGAGGGGAGGATAATACCTCTTCTATTACAGGGGGGACACCGGAGAGGGGAGGATAATACCTCTTCTATTACAGGGGGGACACCGGAGAGGGGAGGATAATACCTCTTCTATTACAGGGGGGACACCGGAGAGGGGAGGATAATACCTCTTCTATTACAGGGGGGACACCGGAGAGGGGAGGATAATACCTCTTCTATTACAGGGGGGACACCGGAGAGGGGAGGATAATACCTCTTCTATTACAGGGGGGACACCGGAGAGGAGAGTATAATACCTCTTCTATTACAGGGAACAGAGGGGAGGAAGTAGACATGGGACACCAGAGGCGGGAGTATAATACCTCTTCTATTACAGGGGGGACACCGGAGAGGAGAGTATAATACCTCTTCTATTACAGAGAACAGAGGGGAGGAGGAGACACGGGACACCGGAGAGGGGAGTATAATACCTCTTGTATTACAGGGTCCTTTCATTTGGATTCCTTTTAGGAACTGACATGGCCATGGTACGAATAATTAGCAGTATTAAAGCTGCAGATGTTTTGGGAGTTTTCACACTGCTGAGAATTGGCGGTATGTTTGTTCTATAGACGATAGACGCATTCTTACCTCTGTCAGTTATGAGCTCATTGGGGCTCGGGATTCTGTACAGGTTATATCTGATAGAATATGTAAACTCGTTCTCAAAGTCCACACTGACAGTCTCATGTTGCTCTTCAGTTGCGTTGGGGAGGTCAGAAGGGTTTTGAAATTCATGCAGAGATATTCCTGGAAGGAAGAATGTTTTGTGATGTCATTCATTCAGTAGCGGGGTTCATTCTCTGGGCGCTCCAGCTGCATACACAGATGTAACACGTGAATAGGAACCCCTTTACCTGCCAGAAGATTACATAAAGCACTCAAGCACCCCCCCCCCAATTATATTCCTCATTCAATCAGTGACAGCGCAATGCTGTGTTTATACCTGAACCTACCTGGGATGATGATGGTTGTTCTGTTGACTCTCTGCATTATGTCTCGGATGGCCGGGGATTTAGGAACGTAGCCAACTGAAAAACTCTTGTTGCTGAATCCATTCAGGTCTCCCAGGACCTCAGAATGTACGTAAGTCCTCGGGTGCGGATAGTCATGTATAACCATCACTATGAACAGCAGGAAAACCAGTGCCAAGTGCTGGAGCCACTCCTGGAAAACCAAACTCGGTGTCACCGTCATCACCAATCAGAAGAAACACTTCAACATCACGGACATAACAAAGAGGCATCCCGACCTCTCCTCCATCACAGAACATCTCCTCAAGGGTGACATGTCTACCGTGCTCCCTGTTTCCTCTCCATGTTCAATGTTCATGTAAAAAGGTTACAATGTTTACTTTTCCAATGTTACCATGTCTATGTTTCAGTAATACAGAGTAACGCTAAGAACTGCTAGATAAAGGAAAAGGTAAGAAAGGGAGAGGAAGAGTGCAGGAAATAAGAGAACCACAACATAGAACTGAGTGATGAAGCTATTGAATCCAGAGATCCCAAATGTTCTCCGACTCCAATAACCTGCCATGTAAAACATTCGTCATTATACAGGAATCACAATCCATGAATGTTTGCTTTTAGCTCACGCTGAATTCATTGTTGGTGATTTCCAGGATGTAGCGGCCGATGATGTTGCCGCTATGAAGATGTCAGAGATCAGCGATGAAGAGTGATTTGGTATTCCTGTTATCGGGTCATTGAGGAGGGATAGACGTAGAATTTGGGGTCTATTAGGCCTTGTTCACACCAAGCGCATTCCAAGTGCAGAGCAGTTACAGACCGAAACAAAACTGCGTCCAATGTATTCCAATGGTATTTTTAGCTCCAGTTCACACCGCAGCGTTTCGTTCCAGAGCAGGTCCAGAGCAGAGCAGGTCCTATTTTACCTGCTCTGGATCTGCTCTGGAACGCATGCAAACGTCCTGGAACACACTGGAAGCCCATTTTAAACTTCAAACCAAAAACGGCCCGGAACGCATCAAAAACGCGGCAAAAACGTGGCAAAAACGCTTCACAACCCACTGCACTGCGTCCTGGAAACTCATGCAGATCTGGTCTGCCTTTGGTGTGAACAAGGTCTTAAGGTTGGTAACAAAGTAAACAAACAACTTATTTCTAACACTGAACACTGATGAGTAGTGAGGTTGTTTTAGGAATACATTACGCTATTACCAAGTGCATACCATCGGGTAAGAAAAATAAAAGATGGAGAAATAAGCCTGCATGGCTAAGTAAAACTGTAAGGCAACACACCAAAGACAAGAGCGTGGCATTTAAAAAATATCAGATGGGGGAGGGGATGGCATTGGCATTGCAGAGCTACAAGGAATGCAACAAGAGATGTAAACATGAAATGAGAAGCATATCGCCCCAGTCTGTGAGAAGAACCCCCAAACATTCTACCAATATATAAACAGTATAAAGGTAAGAAAAGAACAGGTCAGCCCAATAAAAGATGAGAACGGGAGGTCAATCACAAATGACAGGCAGAAGGCCGAGGTGTTAAATTCATTTTATTTCCTCGGTATACACTCAGGAAAAAGTCGGGTTTAATGGAGATAAGAATGTGAGTAGCTCAGTGCGTAATATACCGCAGGGGGTGACGGTAGCTGGAGTTCCACAAAGACTGGAAAAGCGTAATGCAAATAAAGCACTAGGACCAGATAACCTGCACCCAAGGGTACTTAAAGAGCTCAGCCAGGTTATAGCACACATACACCGAGTGGCCGGATTATTATATACACCGAGTGACCGGATTATTATATACACCGAGTGGCCAGATTATTATATACACCGAGTGGCCGGATTATTATATACACCGAGTGGCCGGATTATTATATACACCGAGTGGCCAGATTATTATATACACCGAGTGGCCGGATTATTATGACCACCTGACGTTTGTAGGCAAATTAGCTATAATTTGGCGCTGAAGTTGCTAGAGGGCCAGACCATTATAAATAGGGAAGCGGGTTGGTTACCACGACAGTAGAAGTGATTGGGAAGATTCGGGGAAACAACGCGATGTAACAGCCTTGGAACGCGGGATGATTGTTGGCGCTCGGAGCCATGGAGCGAGTATCAGCAAAACAGCAGAATTCGTTACATGTTCAGGAGCGGCTCATTGTTAAAGTGTTTACAGACCGGACTGTCAGCCGAAAATCTGGGTCTGAAGGTGCGAATTGTGGCCGTCAGGGACTAGTCAATGTTAGGGCAGAACGGGGGAGGGGCAAGACTGGGACAAGACAACAGAAGGGCGACGGTGCCGTGTCAGATTCCTCGCATCACCTTTCACCATCTCGTGGAGTCACCAGGCGGCCCAACCAAGTACCGATGGGCGGGTCAATGGACCTGTGTTTTTATTCAACCTCAAATACTATGTAACTATGTAACTATAGCAAGACCGTTATTCTTCATTATGGACTCCATAATGACTGGTAAGGTACCAAGTAACTGGCGGAAAGCTACGGTAGTACTTATTTTCAAAAAAGGTTCAAGATGCGAACCTGGGAACTACAGACCAGTCAGTCTAACATCCACAGTATGCAAACTGCTAGAGGGGATGATAAAGGACTACTTAGTGGATTTTGTTGTAACAAAAGGTATAATAAATGATAATCGGCACGGATTGATGAAGGGACCGTTCTTGTCAGACCAACGTACTGACATTCTACGAAGAGGTGAGTAGAGATCTGGATAGAGGAAGGCCAGTGGATGTGGTGTACCTAGATTTTACCAAAGCATTTGACACAGATAGAGATAGATAGAGAGATAGAGAACTGGCTACAGGGATGTGCCCAGAGAGTATTGATAAATGGCTCTCTCTCAGATTGGTCTAAGGTGGAGAGTGGCGTGACCCAGGGTTCTGTGCTGTCCCCTATACTGTGTAACCTGTTTATTAATGATATCGGGGAGGGCGTGAATAGTCATGTTTCCGTGTTTGCTGATGATACTAAAATTGTGAGGTAAATAGACACGGACTTAGACATTATAACATTACAGGAGGACCTGGATAACATAGGGGGGAGGGGCAACTATATGGCAGATGAGGTTCAATGTTGAAAAATGTGGGGGTTAAAAATAGGCAAGAGGAATACAAATGAATGGGAACTCCACTAGGGAAGTCACAAATGGAAATATTTGGGGGCCATTGTAGACCACAGATTGAATAACAGCTCGCAATGCCGGGCTGCGGCACACAATGCCAGGCTGCGGCACACACAGCGAGCAGAGTACCGTCTTGTATTATAAAGGGAATGTGCTGTGGAGACAAAGTGATAATTTTGCCACTTTATAGATCGCTGGTTCGGCCTCATATGGAGTAGGAGGTCCAGTTTTGGTCACCAATCCACAGAAAGGATGTCCTTGAGCTGGAAAGAGTCCAGAGAAGGGCAGCCAAAGTAATTAAGGGTCTGGAGGACCAAAGCTATGAGACGAGGCTTCTAAATGTAAACATGTTCACGCTGGAGGTGCGGAGATTAAGGGGGTGACATGATTCTGATGTACAAGTCGTTCAATGGTGACGGCAACATCTGCAATAAACATTTTACAGTAAACTCCATAACAAGGATGAGAGGCCACCACCTAAAACTGGTGGAGAAAAGATTTAATCACAAGGGGTGTAGGGGGTTCTTCTCAGTAAGGGCGGTTAGGGTCTGGAACAAGCAGTGGTATCAGCTGAGAGCGTTGAATCATTCAAGAAGCATTTTGGATACCTTCCTCAGAGACCGTAACATACAGGGGGACAGGTACACTAAAAAACAAGGTCACACAGGGACTCGTGTACACACACACAGACACACAAAGGTTGAACCCGATGGACGTGTGTCTTTATTCAACCTCAAATACTATGTAATATTCTGCTCCAGAAGCACTGTCTGTCAGGGCCCCTCTCCCTCGTGCCCCTTGCAATGTGGTTGGAGTTTCCTTTTAATTCTTTTAAAGAGACCCTGTCAGTAAAATGTAATAATCCAATAACAGAGCTCCCTGTAAATTTAGGGAAGGAGATGTCAGTAGCAGCAGATTCTATTCTTGTCCCTGCACCCGGCCGGGGCCCCTCTTCCTTTTTCCCCCGGTCACTGTGTTCTTACCAGCACCGTATGTCCGGGGCGCCTCCATTGTACCAGAAGATTCTTCTGCAGCAGGGCAAAGGTCTGCTGGACGAGGCTGGCCTCCCTCCATGTCCTCCCGGTCATCTGCAAAACAGGACGCTCACAATGCTTACTTTGCAGACCCTCAATGTTGTTGTTGTTGTTGGGGTTTTATGTGAGATCTTCTGTTGGATAGTCTGACCGGCTCTCATATGCAAGAACTTGTGTGCATTGCGCAAATCTGCAGAGCCACCAGGGCTTTCCCTTCCCCAAAATGGGAGTGTCCCCCCCAGATGTTCCCCTTCTCTCCTTTCCTGTGCTAATTGTAACAAGCTGGACACAAGCACATGATACAATGTATCTCATGTCATAGAAAGCTTCCCCAGCACCAACCCACGTGATATTATTGTTCTAGAAGACTCAGCCTGCAGAGGTGGCAGCATTTAAAGTGACAGGTCCTCTTGGACAGCAGATACTCACTTACCCTGCGAGTCGGTGGAGCTCAGACACACACGGCCGCCTCAATCTGCTCCTCACCCAGCACAGCGACGCTCTGAGCAGGTCACATGACTGGAGCGCAGATGTGTTTGTGATGTTGGCGCAGCTCCCAGAATCCTCGCTGGGGTCACTGTTCTTATTCGGAGCCTCAATGAGTGTCCGTCCAGTGTGAGAGACAATTCTCATATTGTGCTGACGTCCAGCATCATCGCATCCACATTCTTTGTCTGATGGTTGGATGGAAGAAGTTCACTAGAACAGGGAACACATGAGCAAACTTTACAATGAAATCCTTCTGACAGACTGGGCAATACAGTATATTGCCAAAAGAATTGGGCCCCTCCCCCTCCAAATCATTGGATTCAGGTGTGAAATTAAATACATTTTCCGCGGTCACCTGTTACTGGTATCATAACAAATTGGAAGCAGCTGGGAACAACAGCAACTCAGCCAGGAAGTGGTCGGCCACGTCACATGACAGAGCGGGGTCAGCGCATGCTGAAGCGCACAGTGCGCAGAAGTCGCCAACTGTCTGCAGAGTCAATAGCTACAGACCTCCAAACTCCATGTGGTCTTCAGATTGGCACAACAACAGTGCGTAGAGAGTGTGACGGACCCCCGTACTCAGGATGAGTATGTCCGCCGCTGTCTTCTTCCTTGCTGAGGAGATATTGCAACCTGAAGATCCTTAGCTCCCAGTTTCTCCAGTCACTAGCCAAGGCTTGAGTGTAGGTGACACCCCCCCAGTCACTAGCCAAGGCTTGAGTGTAGGTGAAACAAACTCTGATTTATTGAGCAACTGCACAAACTTTTATACAGAAAGTGATGAGATCAGAATATAATCCCATCACATCCCCCGTCCCCTCCCAGACAATCGGTCTGCTTAACACCACAGGTGTCCACCTGCTAACGAACTCCAGACAGCCATAGCAGGAGACGGGCCAGAATGTCATTGTTCTGAGCTCCCTCAGAGTACAATGGGAGATAACGAGGAATGGTGCTGATAGTCTTTACATAACCAGGTCACACAGCATAACGCACTCAAACATAACTCAACCCCAATACACATTTAACTTATAAACTGATTACCGCGTCGTCACATAGCTCCCCCAAGTTAAAAGATGGCAGACCCGGTGAGATCCTCTACGGGTCCACTTGGGGATGTCCATGCTGTTAGTCACCCTTCCAGTTCTGTTTGGCGGGATAGTCCATCAGCATTGGCATTGTGTCTCCAGAGCCAAATGGTGAAGTTGGAGGGCTGTAGGGCCAGGCTCCACCACAACAGCTGTCCATTGGTCCCGGACACCCAGTTCAACCAAACAAGGGGGGTCTCCCTAATCCTAGGTCCATAGTCACTGGGTGTAATGCTCCAGGGTCTGCGATATCGAAAAGGATCACAGCTGCGGACTCAATTTTAAATTAAGGCTGGGTATGGCAATCAGGCTTGAACCCCAGGCGTCTCTCTCAATCTCAAGGGAGAGTGAGGGGTTCTTGCATCATCTGCCACAAACTTAAGAGTAAGGTATGGACCATACAGGGGTTATTTAGCTCATAACCCAATTAAGGTCAGCAACATAAAGAGGGTGCAATGAAACAGTTTCTATTAGATGAAAAGGATGAACAGACACTGGTGAGAGGAGGGTTATACAATATAGCCAGTATAAGCGACCCTAGTACAATGGCTCCCTGTTCCAAAAGGGGTTGAGCGAGATCAAAGGTCAGTATCACAGTCTATTCTCCTTATGACCTAAGATACTTGCGGTTTCCTGTGGACAGGACAGAGGCAGAGGAACGTCCAGAGCAGAGAGGGGTCTGTGAATCTCCTGTTGTAGGTACTGGCTTGTGGAGGGCATCAAGCTCAATAGTGGAACGCTTCCATAGCGTTCACAGGACGTTTAAATAGTGCTCGAACCCGGAAGTGACGTCACGGCCGGGTCGTCACTTCCGCGTTCCACGGTGGATCGCAGGGAAGTTCCCCCTCTGATAGGGAAATGGTCTGCGTGACACAGCCGCTGCGCTCCACGCTGGAGCACAGATAGCTCGCGGCCGGCAAGTATATTACACTGGGAAGGAGGCTGGCCGCCAGCCCCCTCCATGAGCCCAGGTCACGGTGGGTTCCATGACATTTCTTCCCCCCCCAAAGGTAGTCTAATTAGGCCCAGGTCCCCCAAATGGTCTGGACCTGCATTTGTCGGGCCGCATAAGTCCACATATTCCATCCACAGGACGTTCTGCCTCTGGGGAGAGATGTCATCTGTGCCTTCCTGAAGAACATGCTGCCTCTGGAGAGAGGTAAAGCCAGAATCTTCTGGACACCAAAGCCACGTGCTGGTAGAGAGGCCGGCTTCCTTTTCTCCCATGAAGTTTGGAACAGGCAACAGTGTGGGACATAGGCCAGTGGTGCTCTGCACGTGGTGTCAGCACTTCTGCTGGGGAAACCACATCCTCAGTTCTAGCTTGCTGTTGGGGCAGGAGGACGGCTTTCTCCTCTACCTGGATTCCAAACTGCTGCTGGGGAGGAAGGACGATCCCCTTCTCTCCCTGTATCCCAATTTGTTGCTGGGGAGGAAGGACGACCACCTCCTCTTCCTGTATCCAAATTTGTTGCTGGGGAGGGAGGACGACCACCTCCTCTCCCTTTATCCCAATTTGTTGCTGGGGAGGGAGGACGGCCACCTCCTCTCCCGTACTGCTGATCTGCCACTGTGGAGAGAGGTTGACTACCTCTTCTCCCTGGAACCCTGTTGCCAGCTCTTCAGCTGGGATCAGTAGTTCCTCTGCATCAGCCTGCTGTTGGGGAGAGGGGCCACCTGCCCCGGTTCGCTGGAGCTTCAGAGGTGCTGTTGGTGCTGGGCAGAGGTCAGCAGTGCTCTGCCCTGATGCCAGCTCTTCTGCTGGGGTTAGTGGCTCCAAAACATCTGTGGTTGCTGGGGCATGCTGTTGAGCAGTGTCGAACAGTCTTTTGTATGCCTGTTCCAGCTCCCATTCTTGTGT